AATGGTTTCTAGAAGGGTTCTTTAAGGGCTCCATAGGGGTTCTATAATTCTGTAAGGGTTTCTAGTTTTTTTTGGGGTTGGTTTTTGCAGGGTTCGGGGCTTTTATGGTTTAGTTGATAGGGCTTGTAGGGTTTAGGGTTTAGGGCTTACCTAAATCCACAATCTTAGCTGGGTGTTCTTTTGGAACTATTGTTCCTGTTTTGGGAACATAGTGTTGTTTTGGATTTAAGTGGCTTTTAGTTATAGGATCCTTAGAGGGGATAGTTGGGAGAACTGGCGAGTACTAGTATACATAACCCCGATAACCTTCCTCTCTTCAGGAACTGTTCGAGCCTAACCGAAGCTACTTGTACTATCGCTTGAAGCACTTTACCGGGTGTTAGGCATCTTAGTAACTTAGTTGAATGTGCTACCGTGTCTAAATATACAGTTGGTTTTGCGGTCTTTATCGCATCGGGTCCGACAGGGCCACGAAATTTTATAATGTATTAAGAAGTATGCTTCGCCTGTTTTTGTATTGTAGGTTATCTTCTTTAGCAAGCACCCAGGAGATGCAACAACCTCTACCGCACTGGAGGTTGGCGAAGGGCCAGAAGTCCAGGACCACACCCGGACCGAGATGACAGGGAACTCCACGGCGAGCTTCAACCAAAGCATTTCCGGATCCGGAGCAAGGGCCGGGACAACATCCACTGCCGCCACCACGCCCATCTCGGCCGAGTCCGAAACCACCACGGCAGCAGTCGAGATGTCGGAGACCTCGGTGACAACGACATGGGCATTGGGCACAGCGGGCAGCGAGGAGGGCAACTTGTCTACGGCTACCGAAACTAGGTTCCCCAGTAGTACCCTTTTGCCTTTTTTCTTTCTGGGCTTCCTTATTACAACCAAATAGTAGGAAAAAGGGCACCCTTAATATTAAGGGGCTACCTATAGTCTCCATTGTAGTTCCTTTTTGGGGATACCTTATAAAAATCCTTAATCTATAATTGGTTAAACCAAAAACAGGAACTACAATGGAGACTATAGGTACTGTGGAACCAAGGAAACTGTGACATCCACAAGTTCGATGAGCAGTTTCTCAGCTCAAAACTCGACCGGTTCACCAGAGACCCAAGCGCCTCTTAGTAGCTGAGTGAGTACACTTTACACTTTTTGGGATTATATGATCCCTTATCGAACAGAAAGTCTACACTTTGTTGGGCTTATGAACTCAGCAACTAAGGCCTTCCTCCTCCATGCGCCCAGAGCCCACTACGAGCTCCAGCTCAGTTGAGCAGAAGACCTCAGCAACTGAGACCGAAACGACCTCCGAGGCCACCGAAGTCACCTCGACATCTGAAATCTCTGCCACATCTACATCTAAGACAGCTGCTTCGAGCACAGAAGCCACTTCCACGTCGATCCAGGCAACCACCACGGCACCAAACACGACGACAACACCCGGTTCGTCGTCGTCGTCGTCGTCGTCGTCGTCGTCTTCGTCCGCTGGGCTGCCAACAAGTGCAGCTCCTGCCACGACCTCCCGGAGCACGTCATCTCCACCGCCGTCTTCCTCCACAGAATCAGCCTCAATTCGCTCGTCGAGCACATCGGCTTTCAACCATACCGAGGACACCCTAAACCCTAAACCCTAAACCCTAAACCCTAAACCACACCGTGCTTTGGAGCCTTCGGGCCGGGGAATTCCCCTAAACCCTAAACCTAAACCCTAAACCGTGCTTTGGAGCCTTAGGGCTTAGGGTTTAGGGTTTAGGGTTTAGGGTTTAGGGTTTAGGGTTAGGGAATTCTTAAAGCACGGGCAGCCTCTTCGGGATCCGAAAAAGAGAAGGTTCGGTACTGCAGGGCTCCAAGAAAAAAGAGTTGACCTTCGATGCTCCAGTTGGGAAGTCCCACCACCAGCCCTTCCCAACTCGTTTGAAACAGGCATGTTCTGCTCGGGCATAACCTGGAGTTCCATGGTCCTTTCCCTAAACCCTTATACGCCCTAAACCCTGAACCCTAAACTTATGATGTCCCGGTCCTGTTAACGCTATTATCTCGGGAAATAATAAATAATGGGATTATTTTGAGATTGCAGATGGAATCGAGGCACTCAGGCAATCAAACAAGCAATGGGAAAAAAAATGGAAATAATATGGGATTGGAATCCCGTGGCATTCTGACTTCAATGTTTCTCCGATTTGGTTGCAGGGTGCACTTGGCATTTGATTTTTGTTTCATTTTTTTCCCATAGTCCCCGTGCGGCCCCGATCCATCTCATGTTTTCCCCATTTTTGGTTCCATTTCTTTTCCATTTTTGGTTCCATTTTTTCCATTTTTTTTGATTTTTTTCCCAAATGCTTCAGGGAATTTGTGTTTTTTCCAGGATGGAGGCCCCCTCGGCCGGGGCCCAAATCCCACCCGCACGCAATGGAAAAAAAATGGGAAAAACACCAAATTCAGAATG